AAATGTGCTATCCTCCTTTAGGAACCAGTGGTGTGCTGTGGGCTGTCATCTGGTTCGCTTTGGTCAGGAATTCTCCGTCGAAGCAGCCGTGTATTTCCGCTAAGGAGTTAGAGTATATAGAGAGTAGTCTGGGAAGTGATTTACATGCTAAGGTAAATAAAACGAGCCCTGGTTTACTGGCTTAGAACCCTCAAAGTGAAGTTTCTGTTTTAGCCCTTACGAGTATTGGCAAACCTGAAGTTGCTTCTTGGGGTGCACTAAAGTGTCGTACCATTTGAAAGTTAGCCAACCGTGTACAACTAGCATATTTTTTTCGTAGTTTTAGTATGAAAATCAACAAAAAGGCATCCAACCTTCCCCAAAAAGTTTCAAATCTTAGAAAGACTGATCCGAAAATTTTCATAATAACCGTTTGGAATTTTCTAAGAGAACCGCAGCTCCCATAAAACCGCACCCGTCTAGTATCATTGGTTGATTAGTCTTATAAGTCACCCTTATGCCTCTTTTAACAGGACGTTCCCATTCCTTGGAAGTCAATATTTACTTCTTTACCACTGTGGGCCATTATGTTGGCTCATTTTACGCAGACCTGGGGTCTTTACACCATGATGTCAGAGCTACCTTTGTATTTTAACCAGAGACTTCATCTAGACCTTAAAAAGGTACTGTGAAACTGCTCCACTAATTTGACACAGAAAAACGGTGTCCACATTCTTGCACAGGGGCTTATGCGGTTGAAGTGTATCGCAGTTTTGTACCAGTAGGGGACTGGTAAAAGATTTCTCTTCCCCATTGCTACCCCTCTATTGCAAGTCTATTGCGTGAGGTTATGTTCCGTCATTTTGTCAGTTTTTTTACCTGGGTAGAGATACGCATTGTGAAAATTAAGCGTCGTTAGTGATAATGGCGAGCACTAATCTCGTTCCCAGATCATACCATGTAACTGAAATGTAACTGCTTGGCCGTGGAGGGTCTAGGTATGAGACTAGGCTGGGCCCCAAACTTAGACCTTGAGAGGCCAGTGGTTCGTTCCCCGACCCGATGTATCCTCAAGGGGAAGGGGTGCACTTTTTATCGGTTCCACGAGTTTCTCCTTTTTCTCGCAACCAACACTTCAAACTGAATTGCAGTTTCCATACTCTTCCTAGATAATGATAAGAAGTGATTGCTGAAAGATACGAGTTAGGTATCTTGAGTAAATAATTTGTTCTAACGTTTTAGACCTCAGTGGCCTCAGCTTTGCCATACATTCTAGTTCTACTGGTTTTAATATCTGGAGGACGACTTGCTGATTACCTTCGGAGACATTTCTTGAGCACTGGAACAGTAAGAAAGATCTTTAACACGTTAGGTAAAGTACAAGAAGGTTATGGTATTGCTTGAGGGAAATTATTCCCTTGTCTAAAACAACATGAAAAAGCTCAAGTTTCCTGAAGTATTTCACACACACATAAACTTGAGTGGAAGATCAGAGATTTTTGGTGGGTTTAAGAAAATCTGTCTCAGATGCATTTACTTCCACGCCACAGTTTCCTCTTCCCTTCCTTCTCGATGCTCCTCCCTAACCCCCACCTCTGATCAGTGCAAGCGCGCACCTCCGAAAAACATATCTTCTCCGATTTGGAAATCGGAAGGGATTCGGCTTGGCTGAGTTTTGAAGCGTTTTCTTTCGGTTGCTTTCCCCTCTGCCAGTCCCGCGTCTGTCTGTCCCAGGTCTTAAGTTATTGAGACGAAGCGCGGTTGAACGACAATTGAAACGGACGAGTGGCTTGGGTCGAGGTTACGTTATTGGACTCAGGCCTTCCTCTTTTTTTCGCACCGCCGCTACCATCACACCGTTTCTTATTTCGCGCCGTTTTACCAACAGGCTAGTTCTGCGTGAGGACTAGAATAAGTGACAGGTCTCTATTACAGACGATAGGGTTTAAAGTTTGGCTGAGGTTTGATCGAACTGTAAAGTGAATATGTCTTTTCATCAAGGGTCATGGCGTGGCGGGCAGAGGAAGGTTGGGTCCAGGGAAGGGGATGAAATAATTAAATCAAACGAATTCCGTATTCAATTTTTTGACATGGTAATCCTGTTCTTTCCCTATTCCAGGATTTTTACCAATGATAATTTTTCCAATAGCAGCTGGTTACGTCAAAGAAGCAGACCATACAACTGCTATGGTGATGATGACACTAGGGATAGGCCTAAATGGTTTTTCTGAGTCAGGATTTTTGGTGAATCCTCTGGACATTGCACCAGCACTGGCCAGTGTACTGTTGGGTGTCACCAACACAGCGGCTACAGTGTCAGGAATTATCAGTCCCACCCTGTCGGGATTCATCGTGCAACATCATGTAAGAACGCGTGAAGTGTTACTACGACGATTTTAATAACGTCAAATCAATGTTTTTCATTTTACATTGAAAACTCCTTTCCGTGGATGGGAATTATAGTTACAAATTTTTCACGAGGAAAGCTATTCCTCGCAGCAAGAATAAATATGGATCAAATATTTGGTTTGTATTAAAGCTTCACGCAATTTATGTTCTTTTTGTTTGATTCCAAGTTCGGCTTGCTAGCCAGTCAATCAGTCAGGCAGAGATTTGGTTGGCATGTCATCGATTCAGTCATAGTAAGTCAGGGAGTCAGTTAGTCAAATAAGTTTGTCAGACAATCGTGATCAGTCAATAAGCTTGTCTGTCAGTCACTCAGTCAGTTTGGCTGACAAGTGTTTAGTCCCTCGTTCATTCATTCATTTATCCATTTTTTCATTCATTCGTTTAGACAGTCAATCAGCCTGTACTTCAATCAGTCAGCCGGTCAGTCTGTCAATTAGTCAGAAAGTCCGTTTTTCTGTCTGTCTGTGAGACGTCCTTCTTTTCTTTCCTAACAGAGTGCCGAAGAATGGAGAATGATTTTTTACATAAACGGAATAGTCTATCTCATTGGTGGAACATTTTACTTGCTTTTCGCCTCCGGCGAGAAACAACCCTGGGCCAACGGAACTGACTGTGACAAGCTATCTGACAATGTGTTGACAGCGGATGATAGCAAAGAAGAATAAGCAGATAAAAATTCTTATCAGCCAAACTCTGATCTGTAGATTAGGTCAAATTAAAGTTTTATTTTTTGTCAATTTATTTGAAAAAGGTATATTTCTATGGCAGTCTTATCAAACGTGCGCGAGAGCTTCCTAATCCATGAAAGAGAGGATGTCCTCAGTGGGGAACTGGTAATGAAATTCGGTCTCCGCCAATCAATCAATCCAATCTTGCACATTTATGCAAGAAACAATAATTAGTTGTCTGCCATTCGCCGTCTTTCCCAATGAAGTCCATCTTCTACGAAACGATATACGGCTACGGAAGAAAAATTTTGTTCAAGAGACGAGAATTTCTGATAGATACTGTTTCTTGATTTGACTGCTTATCAGGATCAAATACAGGTACTGTCCGACAGAATTGTGCTGCTTTTTAAATATTACTTTTGATTTGTATTCTTTAACGAACAATTTTGCCTTGGTTGTGGTCCTTTTTGTATTTATTCGTTTTGTCTTGGTAAGATATCACAGTTTTTTTATCTGGGTCGATGTAATGGTTCGCTATTCAAGTTGCTTAGTTCGTTCAAAATGGAAAAAAAAATTTACGATCTTTGTTCTTCGACTGATCTCCTACGTAACAGCTGATTTCGCTCTATGCCCTACTGTATGTACTTTTTATATTTTCTGTGTCTTCGTAAACAAGAAATATATATTTAAAATGAGTTGAGCTTAGCCAGAGTACTAGCGCTATTAAGACCGAAAGAAAGATTTCCGTCTCAATATCTGTGCAGACATTTCGCTTCAAGCAATTATTTTGTTTTTGAAGAAGCTCATACAATGCGGAAAATTAGTTAAAATGTAAATTGTCTGCTCTCTTGCGAAACAAGTGTACTGCGGTAGTTGGTTTTTTCATATAATCTGGATGGTCTTGTGACCTATATTCTTAGAATTTGAATGTCGAGCGGAGTTGTTGCATTGTTTTTCAACAGTTGTAATATTTTTTGGGATTATCTGAGACGATTTTCAATTACTTTCCCCTTGGCTATGCAAATAATAGTTTGAGAGAAATACATTATGTCTGCTAATGATCAAATCTCGTGTTCAAATTTATATGCCAGTGGGTGGTTTTAATTTTATTTCTGTGCCTGGCAACCAGTCTTCAGATCTTACGTGTCTATATGTCTCTGGGTGTATTGCAGATCTAAGAACCTTTTTCCTGGGAATAAAACTTGGGTAATTTGAATATACCTCTGTCTCGACTTGAGACTTTGAGAGACCAAGCATTGTTAACCCTCGACACCCTTACATTAATATGCATAATCTCCATACTTTTCTCTTTACATTTACTAAGGTGCTAACAAGGAAAATAAGGTTAACAATTGAGAGTCTTAAGTTAGTGATCACTTCCTTTATTCTCCTAACCTTGATGTGTGATTCAGGGGTGATATTGTAAAGAGATATTAGATGTTGATGACTCTTAGGAGTCAAAGAGTTAACTGCTGATTTTCAGGAGAAAGATGCCTTTTTGAAAGGTATTATTATACTTAGTCTTGGACTCATCAGAGACATAAATTGCATATACTACTCACTAGTAATTGCTTAATTGTGTACATGCTTAAGGAACCAAAATTTACTAGCCTAGTGTATCATCAAGTGTCTTTTGTTAATTGGGTTTTCCAAGTACTAAAGACTTTGTTAAGAAAAAAAGAAGTCAAGAAATCAGATCACAAAGACAAGCACTTTAAACAAAAAAATTAACAAAGTCACCCCATTATAGCCAAGGGTCTCTTCTTTGTCATGTATTGATTTAGGTTGTTTTTACTCTCTTTATTACACAGAGGGCAAAATAACTAAATGCTGATTGGCTGAGACAGAGGACATTTTTCATCAATTTTGGTTATTGTCCTAGGCAATTACCAAAATTTACAGAACATTAAAAACAGGCCTAACTTTGCCTAAAAAAATCTCTATTATAATTTCATCGATGGCAAATGTTTTTAGTAGGGCTGGTTTTATTGCATTGGTGTTGTTGTACAAAAATAAAATTTAATTGAGCTGATTTGCCCTTTTTTCAGTTCACTGATGCAAACAGATTACTGAAATAGCTTCCTAAAAAAGCGAATGACTGTGTGCATTTTGGACCTTTGTAAAAAAATTTTTTTTTTACCCTTTATGATATAAACAAGTAATTGCTTGTTTCTGCGTGGAATTAAGGATTAGCATCACTTGTGCTTTTAGAACTTGCAGTTGCTTAAGTTGCCATCGTCAAAGCACTACTCAGGACAGGCAATTTCTACAACATCTGAAAACATACGTGATATAAATCCTAATATTTTTACTCAGCACCATGCGGTTACCTATACAAATTTGTCAAAAATCACAGTGCCATTCAAAGGTGTAATAGAGTACATTTTTCTGCCATGCGAGAGACTTCAAAGTGGTTGGTAGGTAAGGGTTGGTGTGAGGTCAGATATTTTTTCATTCTGTAATCTTAAGAGTTGGTTAGTCTATAATTACTAACAATTGTATCATTATTGCAGCATCAAAAGGTTGTCATGACTTCACCAGCTAACACAAGTGAGGAAAAAATGGCCCTTAAAGACAGAACAACTTATGATGATCAATTCTTCACCTCAGAAGAAAGTGAAAATTCTGGTCAAAATTCAAAGACTAAATGTAACTGTTCTCCATTCTCAAAACGTTACATTATATCTGTACTGGCTCTCCTTGGATTTGCGAATGTCTATGCCTTGCGAGTCAACTTAAGCGTGGCTCTGGTTGCCATGGTGACAAAGACTTCAACTTTAAGTGATGAAGGCAAAACAGTAAAGGTACAGATGAAATTCAATTTTATTTCAAACAGAGCTGGTATCCTGAAAACGAACAACATATTTCCCCAAAGTCTTTTGGCCAAAACTTTCAGGCACAAAAGTCCACCCAAAGGTCCATCCAGCAAAAGCTGGTGTCTGTCACAGAAAGTGACAAGGTGCATTGTTAGCCCTCTTGAGTGGGATAAGTCTCTAAGTCTATCATAGGCATTCCCCACTCCACCCCCCCTCCCCTGCAGTTTTTCAGGCTTCCCTTATCAAGGGGCATGAATATAATCCAAATTCTATTGCACCACATGCTAAATGAATCTGGTTCATTTATGTGCCTATCATCTTCAATAAGCTATTGAAAAATTACACAGCACAGTATTTTTTTCAGGAAAAGCCACTTGTGTAATGCATTATTATTATAATTATTGTGTTTTATTACAACTTTGAGAATAAATCAGCTGAAAACATATTCATTAAATGCATTACAAATTCACAGTTAACATTCAATTTAAACAAATTTCATACTGAAGTTAATTACTGCACAAAGTAACTGTTATTTTTATTATTAAACTTTTTTTTCCTTTTCACAGGAACCAGCAGAATTTAGTTGGAGCTCAGGAACTCAAGGTAAAAATAAGATTTTAACTCTTCAACCCCCATGAGTGAGTTGACTGTTAGTAGTAAATAAACCAAAGGTTGTGAAACATCTTCTCATGATTTTTTTTCTTTGCAAAATGTTATATTTTCAAGTGCTGATTTTAAGCCTTTTTTTGGTTGTCTTTTTTTTTTTTTTGATAGGAATTGTGCTGAGTTCATTCTTTTATGGCTACATAATTACCCAGCTCCCTGGTGGATTTTTAGCTCTTAAATGTGGTGGTAAAAACTTATTTGGTCTTGGAATCCTATCCACTGCAGTCTTGACTCTACTCACTCCAGTAGCAGCCAGGGCAAGTGTTGGGCTGTTGGTAGCGTTAAGGGTTCTGATTGGATTGTGTGAGGTTTGTGAGCCATTAGACAATATTTCTTTACTAGTAATTACTTATAATTAGTACTTGTAATTAAGGCATTGCTATGTGCAACAATTTTTGGTATATTGGCTCTGTGTTATGGAGAATGTTGATCTTCTTCTCTCATAACAGGGTGTTGTATTTCCTGCAAATCATGCTGTCTGGACAAAGTGGGCTCCACCACTGGAGAGAAGCAAACTTGCTACAATAGCTGTATCAGGTTTGTGATTTGTGAACCAGACCAAGTAAAAACTTGAAAAAACAGTTAATAATAATTTTAATTATTACTATTAATATTTATTATTATTGTTACTATTATAAAGCAAACATGTTTTGCTTTTTCAAAATCCTACTGCTTGAAGGGTTCAAGAGTAACATTAGGAGAAGCCCTTGTGATGCGACAAACGCTGATTTTGATGTTTAGGCAACGGAGGGAGCAATTTGCTTGTGAAATCTTGTAGATTTTGTCAGCTTTTATCAGCTTTTGAACAACTTTTAACCCTTTAACTCCCAGAAGTGATTAACATAAAACTTCTCCCCAGAATATCCGTACATTCTTCAGCAAACAGGTAATGAGAATATTCAAACTTATCAGGTAGAAGCTGTTATCTTGATCTAGCACCAAGTTCTCATAACTAATTTACAAGGAAATGTGTAGCAGCTACAGGGGAAAATTAACAGCCAGATCTTGGGAGTTAAATGGTTAAGTGTAGTTTTAACATGGATTTGATTTCTAGCTATAGATTATTTTATATGATTAAAATTGTTATGATAATGGTTAGTATTACTCTATTCTAAATAAGTAATATTTGGATTATTATTATAAATAATTATTAATATTACTGAGTAGTGATTTGAATCAGGAATTTTTTTCTATCGATGCAGAATCAGAGTGTTACTGTTGTTATTACCAGTATCAAAATGTCTGATAAAATTATCATTATTATCCTTAATTAGTAATGATAAGAGAACTGACTGGAGTCCAGTTCAGTCTGTAAACACACAAGTGATAACAAAATTGTTCAACCACACAGCGGGAGTCGGATTTGTTTATAAACATTATGATTACAGGCAGTATTGGACTGCGCAAAGTCTTGCTACCAATTAATCATAAAAATTACATTTTCCGAGAAAAGAAGAATTGCCAAGGTATTAAAAAAAAGGGAAAATTTGTATTAATAGACTGACAGAGGAATGGTAAATGTTCACTGTTTCTGTGGTGATTGAAACCAAGATTGCAATTGGTTGATGTAAACTACAACTTAGAATGTGATTTGTTGAGTTAAACTATAACTTTGAATGTGGTTGGCTTATTGAGTTGTCTGATAATGTTTAGCAAGTGAATTTAGTGGAACAAAGGAGTTTTTTAAACTAACCACAATTGAGGAAATTGTAATTTTTTTTATTATAATTAAACAAAAAAACTTTTGTAACACTATTATTAATATAATTGTTTTTATCATTTTTATTATTAATAATATTATTATAATTATAGTTACTATAACAATTACCACATCATGATGGAATCTTATATTAAAGTAAACCATTAGCACATCCTGCAAGTTCATTTTATGATTAACACTGACAGTCATAAGTAAATATTAAAATTTTTTCTTATGAAAGAAAAATATTCACCATTGAATAATTTTTATTGTTGCAATACAGGAGCTCACATTGGTACAGTTGTTGCAATGCCTTTATCAGGTGTTTTAGCGCAACATCTTGGCTGGGCTTCAGTGTTCTATGTTTTTGGTAAGTTTTCTTTTATTCTGGTGTATAGTCAAGCATTTCAAGTGCATTGTAGCTTTGTTGGGATGGTCTTTATTTTGCCTTACTGTGATTTGTGAAGCAAAACAAATTGAATGAAAATCTGTGTTACACAAAATGAAAATCTTTGTGGTAGTCTTTATGAAGTCTCAACTAGATTCCTGAAAAAATCAGTGCATTGGCTGTGAGAAAGAATTGCATCATTTAGCCATAACATACAGTACAAATCAGTAATTTAAATAATTACCTGGGGTAGTAGCTGTGCTTTTTAAAAGGTGTCATCAGAGTACTGTCAGCAGCATGTTTCTAAATATAAAGGTTTTTGGTGAGGTGCAAGGTGTTTGCATATTATATGCAATCCACACTTGTGGTGAACTGATCACTTCATCCTTCTGGCTGGTGAAAGGACAGGAATAGTTATGAAAAAGTCATCAAAAATACATTAATAATCATTAATTATTCATTATCAATTACTCCACAGGCTGTATGGGTATTTTGTGGGCCATTGTCTGGTTTTTAGTTGTGAAGAATTCACCAGCAGAAGATCCAAATATTTCAGAGGAAGAGAGATTATACATTGAAACTTCACTTGCTAATGATGATCAGAAGAAGGTATTAGTTGAAGACAAATGTTTTGTATAAGAAAACACTCAAAAAATTTTTTTAAAAAGAAGTAGTTTTCATGGAGTAATCCTCAGAGGAAACTTACCATGGTAATCGCTCAAACAAATTCTTCAAAAAAGGTTCTTTTAGATTTGTCTCAAATGTGAGTCAACAAGAAATGTCAGAACTGCCAAAAAGATCCATATAATCTTCAGACATTAAGGGGCTTTGTTGTTGGATGCTCCACCTGACTGAAGAAGGGTAAACCTGTAAGTAAACTAGGCCACCAACTCTAAACACCCCAACATCAGTATGTAGATTCTCCTTACTGTTCTCTATATATTTCCTAAGGTACTGAAAGGAGAATTTGTTCAACAATCACGAGCTTCTTCAGTTGGTGATCATTTCCTTTATTCTCATGACCTTAGTGTGTGATTCAGGGGTGATATTGTAAGGAGAAATTAGATTCTAATTTCTCCTTACAGGGTTTAGATCCTTTTGTAACTGAGGATCCTTTGAAGGGAAATTCTGATCAGCATCCTGCACTTCCCTTTTACCAATAGGTAATTGGATTTGGCATGGGTATTTTGTGAGTCATACTCATCTAGCTCTCATGGGAGTTAAGTTTAATGCATGTTTATCCCTCTGGCTATCTTTTAACAGGACGTGAAAGTTCCTTGGAAGGCCATATTTACATCCTTGCCTGTTTGGGCGATAGTTGTGGCTCATTTCAGCGAGAATTGGGGATTCTACACTCTATTGACAGAACTGCCCAGTTTTCTCAAACACAGACTTGACTTTGACCTTAGTAGGGTAAGTGCTCTGTTGGGTTAGGGGATGGGAGGTACCCATCATTGATCCCAAATAGAAAATGGAAGGATTAACAGACAATGATTATGAACAAATGAATTATTGAAGGGAAATAAAAGTGAAAGGATGAAAGAAAGGATAGATATATCAATACATGGAGAAAAGTACAAAGAACCAGGAATAAGAAGTTGTGATCAAAAGAACAATCAAACAAAGCTTGTAAAGAACTAAACATCTGTTTATTAGTGTCTTTTTTTTTTGCCCTTTGGGATTTTTGTATGTTAGTTTGTCATGTGCTGAATGTATTTTAGCATGTTAGTCAGACAAGTAATTTTTTATAATAAATTTGTTAGTATCTAAAGGACGTGTTTTTTTGCTTGCCGTTTCCAAGTGGTCATTTTTCGGCCTATGGAAGCCAGATTTCATGTTACAGTTCGTCACCAATCCAGTGCAGTTTTTCCCAGCTCCTAACAAATTTTTAACCACTTTGAACAACCACAACTACAACATCATTTCTTAAATAAAGTGTGTTAATACAATGCTGGATTGTTTGGAGTGTTTAGTGCACTGTTGGAAGTTATAAAGCTACCAAATACTAAACATTATACAGATGGTAGATATGAGCACATTGTGACATAAGCAAACTGTTGCTGACACACATCTATAGAAGTAATTGGTAGAAATTTCACATAATAAAATTTTTTTTATACTCTTTTTTACAGGCAGGATTTGTGTCTGCTCTGCCCTACCTTGTCATGGCAATAACAATTCAAACAGGCGGGCAGATCGCAGATTGCCTAAGAAGAAAAAAAATATTAAGTACAACAGTGGTACGGAAACTGTTTAATTCATTTGGTAAGTTAGCATCAGTAACCTTATTTTCAGTTTGAATCTTTAGTCTCTGTCCCTTATGCATGAGAACCAACAGGGAATACAAGCTGAGTATAACCACAAGAAAACTCCCATTCTCTAGGTCAAAATATTAAACAAGTACTGGTACCCCTCTCAGATAAGTGCCTCCCCCCCCCTTCTCCCTCGCTTTCTTAAATAGTAGGGATTCAAGGAAGACTTGTTTTCATTGTCACTTTCTTTATAACTTTTTAAGCTTCAACTATGGCGAGATCAGTACAGGTTTAACTTAATAGTTTCTCAGTAAGTGTTGTAAATATTAGGTTTCCTGTGCAATAGGCCCAGTCTTTGCCCAAGGTTTTGTCATTCAACCCTTGGTCAAACCTTGGCGCATTTGTGTTTTCATCACTTGTTATTTTTGCCTTTATTTTTTTCGGATGAGGATTGTTTAATTAGACTCGCATTGAAGGAATAGAACATTATGGAACCATTCCGTGTATTGTAGCAATTTTCAAGGTTACAGACAAGGACACTTGCTTGTTTGTAAGGATTTCTCATATGGTATTGTATTGAAACAGTGTGCTGAACATAGTGGATCAGATTGAATAAAATGAAGAATTGATACTGAACCCTTGACCTTCTAGCTGAAATTTGAAGTAAACCCTTGGGTGCCTTTCAAAGATGTACAACATATAGAATTGAGGTGTTAAATGTATATATTTTGAATTGAGAGTCCATTTCCCTTTCCAAATAACCCTTTGACCTCTAAGAGTGATGAGCACCTAATTTCTCCTTACAAGATCACCCCTGAATCACACATTAAGGTCATGAGAATAAAGGATATGATCACCAGCTAAAGAAGCTCTTGATTATTAAACAAATCCTCTTAGTAAGTATACAAGGTAATGTAAAGAAAAGAGTATGCAGAGTATACAGCAGATACTGGTGGTAGTATCTAAAGTTTTGAATTAATTTCTTCTTGTTTAGGTTTTGTTTGTCAAGGTATCTGTATCATCATTGCTGGTTACACTACCAACTGGTTGGTAGCCGTGATTTGCTTAACACTTGCTGTAGGCGGAGGAGGATTCGCATTTAGTGGCTTCTATGTCAATCACTTAGACATTGCCCCACCTTTTGCTGGTATTTTGATGGGCATCACAAACACAGTGGCCACGCTGCCAGGAATCATCAGCCCTTTGTTGACTGGAACCATTGTGCAGCATCAGGTATGCTGGCTTGAATTTTACTTGACGTGTTTTTCTTTGCTTTATGATACCAGTGTAGAAACAAAAAAGAGATGGAAGGTGAAACGAAAGTACTGGACCTAGTTGTTAGAGGAGTGGATAATGCTATCTGCTGGATAAATGTCTATCTTGTGGATAGGGCATTATGTTTTCTTAACACTTATCACCTGAATGGCAATTTATCTGTTGAATAGCAGTATCTGCCCTTTTTACAACTGGATGCTTGAGTTTATGTTGGGAGGTCTCTACTGTGCATTGCTTTTAACTGTATTTATGCAAATGTCTGCAGAGGTGGCGGTGGAGTGCTTTAAGTGTGAGAGGGACTCATTGTGTATACTAAGAAAAGTAGGATCAATATCAGTATCTGGGCAACTGCCCACCTCTACCCCTCCCTTAACCCAACAGCAGTCAATTGACAACAAGTTAAGGTTAATAAGGGAATAACATGACTTTTTGAGGGAATATTGTTTATTTGCACCTGCGTAGTGTCATTTGCGGCCTGAGCGTGAAGCGCGAGGGCCACAAATGACACTACAAGGGTGCAAATAAACAATATTCCCAAAAAAAGTCATGTCATTATCATTATTATCAATAAACAAGGCCAAATGATATCAAGAATGCAAGTTTTAATAATACAAGCTAAGTGAATGACGAATTCAAAGTCGGATGATGAAGCAAGAACCAATCAGCTGTAGGGCTGATAATGCATTAGCAGCCCGCTGTCAGTCTTTTGCGGCCCGCTGAGCGTGTGTTTTGAAGAGGCCGATTTTCTATTTGGCCGCGTATATTGATAATAATGTTGGGTTAGGGAGGGGTAGGTGGGCAGTTTCTCAGATACAGATATTGATCCAAAAAGTTTAACATACCCATTTTTTAATTAAGGTTCACTTCTTGAATACAAAAAGAGCTGTTCAATTGAGAAAAGACCTGCCAAATATGATTGTGCTAAGCATGATTCTGATGTAGCAATTTTGAAAAGATTACAAGACTCAATATTTTGCCAAACTGGGCGGAGGGGCTGAGTGCCTCCCCAAACTTCAAGTTTTCACTTATGGACTGACCAGTGGAATTAATATCTAGGATGTTTTCCTTAAAATAATCTCACAGTTCAAGTTAATTGGAATGCTGTTGATTAACAATTGAGCGTGGTCTATGAAACCTCAAGAAATGGTATATATACAAGGACTGTGCTCCAAAATTCGAAAAGCCAAGATTTAGATCTTCAATGTCTTCTCATGCTTCTTTAACAGTCAATTTTACACTGTAGTAATATGTTTGTGTATAAATATATTCTTTTTTGTTATAGTCACAAGCATCAGAGTGGAGGATAGTGTTCTATCTTGGGGGACTTATCTACTTCATTGGTGCCATATTTTACTGCATCTTTTCTTCTGGTGACAAACAAATTTGGGCAGGTGGATACACTGAACTGACTCAAATAGATAATGATGATGACGATAATGAGGAACAAATGGAGTCTATAGATAGTTAATTTTTAAGTAATGACAAGGTTGGAGTTGTAATCAGCAACAAACAGTGGTATGCAATCAATAGTGCTACCACTTTTGACTCTTTTTGGTTATGGTCTGGACAAAATAGATTGCTGAAGTTGCAAGTACTTTAAGCCCAAGAACACACATTGTCATTGGTTGATTTTCCCTCTGATGTTAGATACTCAAACCAGCAAGTTTTTACTAGATCATAAACCAAGACTTCAAAAGTGGAATTAGAAACATTTTTCAGGTTTTGTCAGCTCTGTTTTCAACTCTGATATCTGATTTTCACTTGGTTGTAAGGGCTCTCATGACTTTCATGGCATTTCAGTGACTATGTTGCTAGTTAGAACCAGCCTCTGAGTAATGATAGAATTTTGGAAATAAGTATGACCTTAAGTTTGCTTTTAGATGGATGTGAAGCGTTATTTATAGCATACACGAACAGCAAAATCTACCTGTGCTTTTGTGCACTTTCCTGTAGTCCTTGAAAAGATTCAGTAGAAAAGATAAGAACCTGAAGGTCACTTTGCTAACATGCTAACTTACCTAAGGAGGCAAGTTAACTAAGGAGGTACCAGTTATCAAGTCAAGCTGTCAACAAATTGGTTGATAACCATGACAGGTAGGGGAAGTGACCCTGAACCAAATAGAAATCTTTCCTTATCATGACTTATGCAAAAAGTTACCAGGTTTTTGGACAAAAACAGTAGGGGTCAGATGGTGAAAGTTTGATTTTTAATCTCTTTCAATTTGCGGAAATGTGCTTCAAGTCCCTCTGTAAAAAACCTTTTGATTTTTAATCTACATGCAACAAATTCTTATAAACACACCAAACTTGAGCTAAATTTGTTTTCATGGCCTGTGAAGCCAACATGTTCAGAAAATTGTAAAGATCCTTTCTTGGATTGGATGTCTAACTGTCACAGTAAACCAAGGTTATTATTTATCTATTTATTGGCTTATATTATTGAAGCAAAATGGATAGAATTTTATTTTTATGCAGTTGTTATTAACTGTATATATTAAGACATTTAGGAACCAAGAGGATCATGCGAGAATTGAAAAGTGGTCTTTATAGTCCATCCTATTTAGTGAAGTATTTTTGAGTAATGAAAACAAGTCTATTATTTTGACACATCATATATCAAATTTTAAAATACACAGTACATCATGAGAAATATATTGAGAAGGTCTTAACCTTTTCATTTCTCATTAGTAATTCTCCCTACTAACAGCCTTACAATTCTTATGATATGAATTCTGAGAATTTGTGATTGGATCAACTAATAATCCCCCAATTGATATTTCTATTCTCCTCACTTGTGTGCTTAATATTGTAATTATATTTTTTAGGAGAAATTCCATCTTGGTCACTCATGGGATTAAAAGGGTGGGTAATTAAAAGTAGGCCTCAAAAATTTAAATGCAAACCAGAAACATTTGATTATTTAAGCAAAGGTAATTCATCATGTTGTAGACTTGCAGCATACAATTACATCCACAGTAGTTCCATTCATACCTTGCATTTCACAGTAATTGTAGTGTAACTCAGTAGTTACTAGAAATAATCAGTGTACAGTGTGCTTTTAATGACCACAGGGGCTAGAAAAACGGGGCAGCTGTACTAAAGAGTGCAATAATATCATGTGATTATACAGTCTCATACTTTGTTCATCTAATTTGTTTGGTAAGCTTATTTATTTATTTATTTTTACTCAAACTCTCTTTTATACAGTATTTATTTCATTTTTATCACTTAAAAGTGCCCACCCTCAAATAGGCACCTGCCTTATAGGTATGAAAAGTTTAAAAGATGGCACCCAAAATAAAAAAAGAAAACTTAAAAAATATGAAAATTCTCTTTATCTTTAATTAACATGGAAAGTAACATTATCCTCCATGTTAAAATCAATAATATAAATGGAAGTAATGGTGTACAAAATAAATATAAAATGCAGTGGGATTTGCAGTCAATTCCACTTTACATTTATATGCAACACTAGAATTGACAGGGAATTGTA